GACTCAAGTGATCCATCTACATATGCTTCAGCCTCCCAATATACCGGTTCAGGCATGAGCCACCATGCCTAGCCTAAAAGTCTTAATTCACTGTTTGTTTGATTGTCACTAAGGGCTTGTGATTCACCTTTTTTTTTTTTGAGATGGAATCTTGCCCAGTCGCCCAGGCTGGAGTGCAGTGGTGTGACCTCTGCTCACTGCAAGCTCTGCCTCCTGGGTTCATGCCATTCTCCGGCCTCAGCCTCCCTAGTAGCTGGGACTACAGGCGCCCGCCACCACGCCCAGCTAATTTTTTTTTGTATTTTTAGTAGAGACGGGGTTTCACCATGTTAGCCAGGATGGTCTCAATCTCCTGACCTCATGATCTGCCCACCTTGGCCTCTCAAAGTGCTGGGATTACAGGCATGAGCCACCGTGTCCGGCCACGATTCACCTTTTTTGTTTATTTTTTAAATTTTTTGAGACCTAAAAGTCTTAATTCATCATTTGTCTCATTGTTACTAAGGGCTGTATGATTTCCCCTTTTTTTTTTCTTTGAGATGGAGTTTCGGCCGGGCACGGTAGCTCAAGCCTGTAATCCCAGCACTTTGGGAGGCCGAGACGGGCAGATCACGAGGTCAGGAGATCGAGACCAACCTGGCTAACACAGTGAAACCCCGTCTCTACTAAAAAAATACGAAAAACTAGCCGGGCGAGGTGGCAGGCACCTGTAGTCCCAGCTACTTGGGAGGCTGAGGCAGGAGAATGGCGTAGACCCAGGAGGTGGAGCTTGCAGCGAGCTGAGATCCGGCCACTGCACTCCAGCCTGGGCGACAGAGCGAGGCTCCGTCTCAAAAAGAAAAAAAAAAAAAAAGAGATGGAGTTTCACTCTTGTCCAGATTGGAATGCAGTGGTATGATCTTGGCTCGCTGCAATCTCCACCTCCCAGGTTCAAGCAATTCTCCTGCCTCAGCCTCCCAAGTAGCTGCGATTACAGGCACACCCTACCACGCCTGGCTAATCTTTGTATTTTTAGTAGAGATGGAGTTTCACCACGTTGGCCAGGCTGGTCTGGAATTCCTGACCTTAAGTGATCTGCCTGCCTTGGCCTTCTGAAATGCTGGGATTACAGGCATGAGCCACTGTGCCCGGCCCTGATTTGCCTTTTTAATACCATTTTTTAGGTGTGTCAGCAGCCTGAGTGTGGGAAATGTAAAGCCTGCAAGGACATGGTTAAATTTGGTGGCAGTGGACGGAGCAAGCAGGCTTGCCAAGAGCGGAGGTAGGTCGGGCCGAGTCCTCCTCCTGTGGCAAAGGACTTGCCAGCTGGTGGCGGATGCACTGTGGAGAAGGGCCCGCGTGTGTGGGATAGCACCAGGATTCCTTCGTTAGGCATTGTCTCAGGGCCTGTCCCTGTTAGGACGAAAACAACCTTGGTTGGTCTTACTTAGAAAAGGGGCCTTAGGTATAACCAGTGACATTGCAGGTGTCCCAATATGGCCATGAAGGAGGCAGATGACGATGAGGAAGTCGATGATAACATCCCAGAGATGCCGTCACCCAAAAAAATGCACCAGGGGAAGAAAAAGAAACAGAACAAGAATCGCATCTCTTGGGTTGGAGAAGCCGTCAAGGTAACCCTTGGAGCCCCTCGTTCGACTCACTGCCATGTTCCCGATAAGCAGGTTCCCCTAGTATCTTGCCAACCTGACCTCTTGGTCAACCTGAGCCCCAGCACCAAGAAACCTGCCTGTTTGCCCCTGAGAGGAGCAGGACTGGCCGAGAGACCATGTTCTGTGGCTCAGTACCAGCAAGGCATTTTTGTGTGGCCACAAGGCTCAGTTCTCCTAATGTCCCAAAATGGGCATTTGACACAGTTCTAGGGGCGTCAGGCAGGTGAGCCCTCATAGCTTGTTTTTCTGTTTTGTTTTGTTTGGGACAGAGTCTTGCTCTATCACCCAGGCTGGAGTGTGGTGACATGATCTCAGCTCGCTGCAACCTCTGCCTCCCAGGTTCAAGCAATTCTCCTACCCCAGCCTCCTGAGTAGCTGAGATTACAGGCGTGCACCACCATGCCAGGCTAACCTTTTTTGTGTTTTTAGTAGAGATGGGGTTTCATCATGTTGTCCAGACCATTCTCAAACTCCTAGCCTCAAGTGATCCACCTACCTCAGCCTCCCAAAGTGCCGGGATTACAGGCGGGAGCCACCGCGCCTGGCCCCTCATAGCTTGTTTTCAAGAGAGACGTCACAGCCCCCTCTGGCGTGGGGTGGGTCTTTTGGGGGCACCAACAGATGGCCTCCCAGTTGTTTTGTGGTCATCGGCTTCACTGAGGGTCAGTTCCTTTACCACAGTGTGAGAGAAAGGAGTGAGTATCCTCTGTGTTGCTTCTCTGATGTCCATAAATTAAAGATGCAATCAGTTCACTGAAGCATGAGGCTTGCCGCCTGCTGGCTGCCTGGGCTGTGGCTGAGCCCCTGCAGGAGGACAGACATGGGTACTGTTGCATGGCATGAGTACCTCTGCAGGGTAGGGGGCTGGGAGGAGGCTGGGGCCGCGAGGCCTTGCAGAGGTGACACGTGGGCTGAGATGGAGAAGGTCAGGTAGGACCTAGCCACACCAAGACCTGGGGGAGAGCTGCACTGAGGTGGCAGTCAGCTTACCTTGGTGGAGAAAAGGTAGGAGGCCCCTGCAGTTGGATTGGCTTGAGCCAGGGGGTGACAGGCAGGACAGGGGCCAGGGTTCAGGCTGTGGCCTTACAGACGATGGTGAGGTGTTGGGAGCTATGCTGTTAAAATCAAATCCTGGGACCCGAGTGGCAGAGCGGAAGTGGGAGGGACACGAGTTCCCTTGGTTACAGCATCCGGCCGAGGAGGGTGGATGTTCTCTTCTTTTTTATTATTGAAGCCCTTGTAGAACAGGATGTTCTCTTTAGCAGCAACTCTTCATTGACTTCTTGATGAAATGGAGTCATGTCTTATATTAAGTAACAGAGAACCAGCAGGTCAAGGCCAGCAAAGACCCTCAAAATGATCCTCCCTGAACATCTGCTCTCATTTTCAGACTGACGGGAAGAAGAGTTACTATAAGAAGGTGTGCATTGATGCGGAAACCCTGGAAGTTGGGGACTGTGTCTCTGTTATTCCAGATGATTCCTCAAAACCGCTGTATCTAGCAAGGTTTGCATCTTTCTTTTTGCTTGACTTCTGCACGTACTTTCTCATCAAGTAGGAGATGCCTGTTTTGCCAAAATAGCACCAGCAGCTTTTTGCCCTAGATGAAAACCGAAAAGGACGAGTGCCGCTGCCCAGACTCGGTCAGATATCTGCTGGCCAGGTCAGAACTTCTCCCCATGCCCGTCTTGATTCCAGGGTCACGGCGCTGTGGGAGGACAGCATCAACGGGCAGATGTTTCACGCCCACTGGTTCTGCGCTGGGACAGACACAGTCCTCGGGGCCACGTCGGACCCTCTGGAGTTGTTCTTGGTGGATGAATGTGAGGACATGCAGCTTTCATATATCCACAGCAAAGTGAAAGTCATCTACAAATCCCCATCCGAAAACTGGGCCATGGAGGTGAGTACCTGGTGCCCCTCGCGAGCCCCCGCCTTGCCATGGAGGGTCAACTGCTGACATGTGTTCTGTTTTGTTTTTATTTGTATTATCTTGTGTGTGTGTGTGTGTGTGTGTGTGTGTGTGTGTGTGTGTGTTTGAGACAGAATTTCACTCTTGTTGCCTAGGCTGGAGTGCAATGGCATGATCTCAGCTCACTGCAACCTCTGCCTCCCAGGTTCAAGTGATTCTCCTGCCTCAGTCTCCTGAGTAGCTGGGATTATAGGCACCCGCCTCCACGCCTGGCTAATTTTTTTTTGTATTTTTAGTAGACACAGGATTTCACCATGTTGGCCAGGCTGGTCTCGAACTCCTGACCAGCCTGGAAGGCCAGGTGATCCACCCGCCTCGGCCTCCCATAGTGCTGGGATTACAGGCATGAGCCACCACGCCTGGCCTGACACGTATTCTTATCTCCCAAGGGAGGCATGGATCCTGAGTCTCTGCTGGAGGGGGACGACGGGAAGACCTACTTCTACCAGCTGTGGTACGATCAAGACTACGCGAGATTCGAGTCCCCTCCAAAAACCCAGCCAACGGAGGACAACAAGTTCAAGTGAGCATTGGGGCCAGGCTCGAGGTCAACAGGCACTTTCAGCCCACATCGCTCCGGTTTCCTGTGTGCTTCTGTCTGGTTGGCTTCCCCCAGGGGCCCCTCAGTTTGTGTTTCTTGCTCACCAAAGGCTAGCCTGACTATGGATGACGCTCAAGGGTATAGATGGCCTGGAGTTGCTTTAAGTGTGTGGATGACCTGGCATTGGCTTTGTAAGAGGGTTCTCTACCCAGGAGCAGGGTTCGTCTTCCCATTTCAAGACTTCCCGTGTGTTCTTCAGTGTGTGCCCAGCTCTGGCATGTTTTTGGCTGTTTCTTAGATATTTTCTCCTGTAAATGAGACCTTTATTGGATTCTTTTCTAACTGGGTGACTGCTTTTAGGGAAGCTTTTATTTTTTATTTTGTTTTTGAGACAGAGTTTCACTTTTGTTGCCCAGGCTGGAGTACAACGGCTCAATCTTGGCCCACCGCAACTGCCGCCTCCTGGGTTCAGGTGATTCTCCTGCCTCAGCCTCCCGAGTAGCTGGGACTACAAGCATGTGCCACCATGCCCGGCTAATTTTTTTGTATTTTTAGTAGAAACGGGGTTTCTCCATGTTGGTCAGGCTAGTCTCGAACTCCCGACCTCAGGTGATCCGCCCGCCTTGACCTCCCAGAGTGCTGGGATTACAGGCGTGAGCCACTGTGCCTGACCAGCTTTTATTTGTTAATGTCCAATGCCCCATACCTTCTTTTTAACCTCCGTACATCACTTTTTTCAACTAAAAGCAGCAGCCAGCACCCCCAGAGGAGCAGGTGGCAACCAGGGAGACCCAGGGAGGCCAAGAGGGCTCCCATGGGGGTATCTGTGCTTCTCCCATAAGTCTCATGCTGACTTCAGCTTGATCTCTATTTTCATTTTATTTTTTATTTATTTTATTTTTATTTGTTCGAGATGGAGTTTCACTCTTGTCACCCAGGCTGGAGTGCACGATCTTGGCTCATTACAACCTCTGCCTCCTGGGTTCAAGCAATTCTCCTGCCTCAGCTTCCCAAGTAGCTGAGACTACAGGTGCCTGCTACCATGCCTGACTAATTTTTGTATTTTTAGTAGAGACAGGGTTTCACCATGTTGGCCAGGCTGGTCTGGAACTCCTGACCTTAGGCGATCTGCTCCCTTCAGGCTCCCAAAGTGCTGGGATTACAGGCGTGAGCTACTGCACCCAACCCCATTTATTTATTATCACCCAACCCCATTTATTTATTTATTTATTTATTTGAGACAGGATCTCACTCTGTCACCCAGGCTGGAGTGCAGTTGTGTGGTCACAGCTCACTGCAGCCTCGACCTGCTGGGCTCAAGTGATCTTCCTGCCTCAGCCTCCTGAGTAGCTGGGACTGCAGGCATGCACCACTCTGCCTGGTTAATTAAAAAAATTTTTTTTTGTAGAGACGGGGTCTCACCGTGTTGACCAGGCTAGTCTCAAACTTCTGGATTCAAGCGATCCTCCTGCCTTGGCCTCCCAAAGGGCTGGGATTACAGACATGAGCCACCATGCTGGGCCTTGATTTCTATTTTTAAGGCTGTCTTCAGGTCTCCTTTAAGGGCTTACTAGTCAAGAATAATGTTGAATTTCCTCAAATACCTGTTGGGCCTTTATAGAGAGAACAGTAAGAGTCTCTGCTGGATTGAGTTCCTCACTGAGCCGCTCGGGACTCTTGCTGGTGGTGTGTTCTTAACCGCATTCTAGACTCTCTTCATTGATATCTTAGGGGTTTTGTATCAATGACTCAAAAGTGGTTTGATTTTCTTGCTATATTCTCTCTGGACTTTGGTCTCAAATAAGTGCCTTCAAAATGTGAACACAAAGCACAAGAAAGCCACTTCCTTCCTTCTATCATCTGCAAATGTTTTCTCTTGGTCGTCAGAGTCTCTGGATTAAGCTGGCAGTAGCTGCTGCGGCCACTGCTGGCCACCTCAGGGCCTTACGCTTCTGTCCCTTTGTTTCCTTCAGGTTCTGTGCGAGCTGTGCCCGTCTGGCTGAGATGAGGCAAAAAGAAATCCCCAGGGTCCTGGAGCAGCTCGAGGACCTGGACAGCCGGGTCCTCTACTACTCAGCCACCAAGAACGGCATCCCATACCGAGTCGGTGATGGCGTTTACCTGCCCCCTGAGGCCTTCACGTTCAAGTGAGTGCCCCCTTGGAGCAGCCGGGGCCAGGGCGCTCCAGGCCGAGCCAGGCTGGCTTTGTGGTGTCCCCTTCCTCACAGACATCCCCAACCCCTCTGCACCAGCTGTTATCCCAGCCGTCACTTTGGCATAGGTGGCAAACAGACAACATAAAGCATGGAGTGTAGACTGACCGTGATGCTATTGCAGAGCAAAGCTGACTGTAAAAGTCAGAACTCGCTGGTTTGGTTGGGTGTGATTTCTCACACCTGTAATCCCAGCGCTTTGGGAGGCTGAGGCAGTGGGGAATCATCTGAGGTCAGGAGTCCGAAACCAGCCTGGCCAACATGGTGAAACCTCGTCTCTACTAAAAATACAAAAATTAGCCGGGTGTGCCACCACACCTGTAGCCCCAGCTACTCGGGAGGCAGAGACAGGAGAATCGCTTGAACCTGGGAGGCAGAGGTTGCAGTGAGCCGAGATCATGCCACTGCACTCCAGCCTGGGCGACAGAGTGTGACTCCGTCTCAAAATAAAAAAAGCAAAAATTAACTTACTGGCTAAAGCGCGAGGGACAGCTGGGGGCCCTCCCCAGTTCTGCCCCTGCCCAAGGACAGCTCCTCTCCGTCCCCTGCTGTGAAGTGGGAGAGTGGGATCTTGGCTGCTGGGGCTTGAAGGGTTGAGTGAGTTGAAAGTGCTCCGTACAGTACCTGGCTTAAAGTAAAGGCTTAATGAACATGAGTTACTTCTTGGTAAGAGGGAATTACATCAGATGACTTATCTGTGTCGGAGGATCAAGGCTCTTTCAGGAAAAACCTAAAGCCACAGATCGTTTCCACACTGATGCATTCTGTGTTTTTGCTAAGAATAAGTGCGTGGTTGGAATTACAGCCCACATTTTCCAGATGCTTTCCCAGCTCACAGTTCCATTTCCCTAGAGCCCCAGCTCCCTTACCTTAGTTCAGTTACTGTGAACTATGAGACCTGGAGAAATAGGGTCCCTCCAGCCTTGGCACAGTTAGGGTGCATTACCCCCTCTGGTTGTCCTTGATTGGAAGGGGACACCTCCCTGTAGTATTTTCTGCCAGGTGCTCCTGGCAGAGTGGGAGACTCAGCACAGATGTGCCTTTGGGGCCTGTCAGACTCCTGGGGGGCCTAGTGGGGAGAACATGGCAGCCACCTTCCCTAACGGCAGGCCCTCTCCAAAGAACAGCTTTTCCCCACTAGTCAGACCTCATTCCCATTGCCCCAGGCCCCCGTGTCGCCTTAGATTGGCCTTCTCCAGTGTCTCTTCTAGATCAGAGCCTTAGTCAGGGTAGCGTAGGTTGTATCATAGCAACAACCCCAAATCACAGTGACTTAAAACCACAGAAACTGGACTGGGCATGGTGGCTCGTGCCTGTCAGGAGTTCAAGACCAGCCTGGCCAACATACCTGTCTCTACTAAAAATAAATTAGCCAGGGTTAGCTGGGCGTGGTGGCGGGTGCCTGTAATCCCAGCTACTTGGGAGGCCGAGGCACGAGAATCGCTTGAACCCGGGAGGAGGAGTTGCAGTGAGCCGAGATCATGCCACTGCACTCTAACCTGGGTGACAGAGTGAAAGTGTCTCAACAAAAACCACAGTAGCCACTGTCTTGCTCATACGAGGTGCCCATCACAGGTCAGCAGAGAACTCCACCTGTTGTGTCCCTTGGATATCTGGGCTGCTGGAGTCAGAAGTTGCCAGTCTCTGAGCCCAAGGGAAAGCACACAGGACATTCCCCAGGCAGTGACGTGCTCTTAGGTCATTTCTGCTCACGTCACAGGCCAGGAAACACAAGATGCCAAGTGGTCGGGAGGCAGGAGCCTGGGGTATTTAAGCAGTGCTGGCCACCACCGTAGCCAGTAACGCACAGAGGGTGAATGCCTGCTTCAAACCGTGAGACTGAATTTCCAGCTAAATATTTTTTTATTCTTCAAGATGGAGTCTTGGTCTGTCACCCAGGCTTCAGTGCAGTGGCACAATGTCAGCTCACTGCCACCTCTGCCTCCTGGGTTCAAGCAATTCTCCTGCCTCAGCCTCCTGAGTAGCTGGAATTACAGGCGTGTACCACCGCGCCCAGCCAATTTTTGTATTTTTAGTAGAGAGAGGGTTTCACTATGTTGGCCAGGCTGGTCTCGAACTTCTGACCTTGTAGTCTACCTGCCTCGATCTCCCAAAGTGCTGGGATTACAGGCATGAGCCACAATGCCCAGCCTAAATCATTTCTTAAGGTACACACCTACCTTAATTTATCAGGTGTTTGACTTTAAATGGCTATTGTCATGGGTCAGTCATGCCTGACTGACCACTGCAAGGTGGAAAGTTCGTTGATGCTAAGTGGGTGCTTCTCTGCAGCATCAAGCTGTCCAGTCCCGTGAAACGCCCACGGAAGGAGCCTGTGGACGAGGACCTGTACCCAGAGCACTACCGGAAATACTCCGACTACATCAAAGGCAGCAACCTGGATGCCCCTGAGCCCTACCGAATTGGCCGGATCAAAGAGATCTTCTGTCCCAAGAAGAGCAACGGCAGGCCCAACGAGACTGACATCAAGATCCGGGTCAACAAGTTCTACAGGTCAGTGGAGGCCTCTATTCTTCCACGAGGCCGCAGACTCTTCTAGAAGGCTCTGCCTGAAACAAGGTTATGACATAGCACCCACGGTTGTTCTAAGAGTTAGGTTGAGTTAGCTGTTTTTCCAAGTGTTTTTGATTATCGGTGGGCATTGATAATGACTAGAATTCTAGTTCCCAGCCCTCACTTTTAGGTCCTTATTTTAATGTTGCAGAGCCCTTTTTCCAAAAGAAATCCTTAAGCTGTCTGGGCGCTGTAGCTCACGCCTCTAATCCTAGCACTTCGGGAGGCTGAGGCAGGAAGATCACTTGAGTCCAGGAGTTCGAGACCAGCCTGAGGAAATGTAGTGAGACCCTGACCCTACCAAAAAAAAAAAAAAAAAAAAAAAAGACCAGCTGGGTGTGGTGGCACATGCCTGTAGTCCCAGGTGCTTGGGAGGCTGAGGCTGGAGAGATCATTCAAACCCAGGAATTTGAGGCTGTGGTGAGCCATGATCCCACCACTGCACTCCAGCCTGGGTGACAGCCAGACCCCGTCTCAAAAGAAAAAAAGGGTAGAGTGTCTGGGCACCCGCATCCCAGAGCTGCATCTATGACTGTCCAGGTTCTGTCCCACTGTCCCCAC